GCGCCGAAACCAGCAGTTCATCGCTCAGCCTGCGCCTGGCCGCCTCGACCCGAGGAGGCCAGCCCAGGGCGGAAGAAATCGGGGAGGGGGGTGGGGTGGCGGGGGGGGGGGAGGGAGGGGGGGGGTGGGGCGGGGGGGGGGGGGGGCTGAGGGGGGGGTGGGGGGGGGGGGGGGGGGGGGGGTGGGGGGGGGGGTGGGGGGGGGGGGGGCGGGAGGAGGGCATGGGGGGGGGGGGGGGGAGTAAGGGGGGGGGGGGGCGGAATGGAGTAGGGGGGGGAAGAGGAGGAGGGCGGAAACGAGCGATGGAGGATAACAATATCCTCTGGCCGACACTCTGGAACCCACTGCCCTGTTCGAAGCCGCGCCCATCCTCTTCGGGAGACGGCCGCGAGGTACGCCATGCGGGCGCGCCTCGAGCGGGGCCGGTGCCCAGAACTCATGATCTGAATATACACAAAATATACATTAACATACCACTTATAGTTATCAATTTGTAATACGCATACATTACTTTGCACATCTACATATAATTTTTCCCATCGACTATTCGTACAATTATATTATTACATTTTTGCCACAGATACATCAGTTTTACATAATGTATCAATCTACTATTATTACCATCTATTTTTACGTATGTACATGTAACATATTCATGCTTATGATTTATAAGAATACCATACAGTGCAAACCATATGCACACATATATTGTTACACAGATGCACATATATATATGATACGTAATAATTTATATATATATAAACAAATCCGTTCGCCTCACGCACACACTCCAAACACTATTATATAGAGATATATATATATATATAGCATGCTCGTGATTTCTGGCACGTACGGCCGCGATCGAGTGGGCGCCCGTGCGACGCGACCCCGAGGCCGTGGCACCCTCCCCCCACCCGCGCGCGTGGGCGCACGCCTGGCGCTGGCGCGGGCGCGCCGCGGCGGCGGGCCCCGCGGCGCGCGCGCCCGCGCGCCCGCGCGCCCGAGCGCGGGCGCGCTCGAACGAGAAGCATTGCGGCGGGAGGCAAGCACGCCGCGAGCAGGAGGCGGAGGTGGAGGCTCGAGGAGGGGGAGGGAAGGAGGGGGAGGAGGAGGAGGAAGAGGAAGAGCAAGGAGTAGAGGAGGAGCAGGAGGAAGAGGAAGAGGAGGAGGAGGCGAGGGCTAGGGGAGAGGGGAGCGAGTTTTTTTTTTGGCGTGGCCTCGAGGGAGTGGTCGGTGCGGGAGTACTTTTCACGCGGTGGTTGCTCGATGCAACGGCCTAGGACGCCTCGAGCTCTTGGCCGAAGCCAACATTGACAAAATTGGCACGTTCACAAGAAAATTAGGACAACCGAAGCCAACACATGACAAAATTGGGACGTTGACAAGAAAATTCGGACAACTAAAATGCGAAACGCAAAATCACAACATAACCCAAAAATCAATACAAACTGGCGTCAAGAAAAAATTGTGCAGGAGGTCTGGGCGCGGGGCTGGCCGTCGGGCTGGTCGTCGGGCTGGCAGTGGGGCTGGCAGTCGGGCTGACCGTGGGGCTGACTGCTGGGCAGGCCGCGGGGCTGGCCGTCGGGCCTGCCGCGGGGCTGGCCGAAGGGCTGGCAGTCGGGCTGGCAGTGGGGGTGGCCGCGGGGCAGGGCTGGCAGCCCAGGCCAGGCCAGTCGGCCCGCCCGGCACCGTCACCGCAGCGGCGGCCGCCGCCGCCGCGCGGGAGAGGGCGGCCGCCGCGGCCCACAGGCCTGCAGCAGCCGCCGCGGCGGCGGCCTCGGCGGCAGCGCCCGCGGCGCCAGCGGCGCGCCGGGGCGCCGGCTGCGTGCGCGGCGGTCGTCGCATCGCGGCCCTAGCGCACGCGGCGCGGCGGCCGCCAGCGGCGCCCGCGGCGGCCGCAGCGCGCGCACTGGGGCCAGAGGCAGCGGCAGCATGCGGACGCCAAGGGCACCAGAGGCGCACGCGGCCGCCGCTAGTGCCAGCGGCAGCGGCGGCGGCACTGGCACCGCGGATCGCCGCGCAGCGGCCGCGGCCGCGGCGCTCGCGGCGCCCGCGGCGCCGCAAGCAGGGCAGCGGCAGTCCGCGCGTCGGCAGCCGCTGCCGCCAGACGCGGCCGCGGCGGCTGGCGGACAGGCCGCTGCGCAGCGAGTCGTCGGCGGCGGTTACAGCGGGCATGCGGGGAGGCAGCCGCGTCCGGGCCGCGGCGACGGTCGGGGCGGCGCGAGAGGGTCCCGGCCGCGCTGCGAGGGGAGGAAGGCGGGAGCACGGCGGCGCCAGGCGCGGCGGCCGCCGGCCACAGCGGCCAGCAGGACAGCGGCGGCTGCCTGCGGCAGGGGGCCGCGCCAGCCCCTGCGCAAGGAGGCGCTTTGAGGCCCAGGCGGCGCTGGCCAGCAGCGCCAGCGGCGGCCGCGGCAGCACGCCGCGCAATAGGGCCAGGACCTGGAGGCGCAGCGGCGGAGCCAGCGGCGCGGAAAGCCGCGCGGCGCCAGCGCGACCCCGCGGACGCTATCTCCGAAGCGGCCGCAGCGCGGGGAGCGCCGGCGGCGCCGGCGCGGGCGGCGACCGCGACGCGAGCCGCCCAGGCGGCCGCCCGCTGCCGCCGGCGACGCGCCGCGGCGGGCTCCATCGATCGGCGTCGGGCGAGCCCGCGCCTGGCCGGGGGCGTGCTCGAGCCCTGGCCCCGGAAGGGAAAGCGCCCCCGGGAAACGGCTTGAGCCAGAGGGCCACGGAGCTGGCGGGGTTACTTTTTGGTCTGCGGGCTCGCGAAGCAAGTCGAAAGCCGTCCGATCAGTAGCCGGGCCGCGACTAGGCAGCAAGAAAAGAAAGGGGCAAGCGAAGCGAGCGAGCGGGCAGCCACTCGCAAGGAGAACCAGAAACGAGACTCTCAACCAGGTGGCGTGGAAATCCCGGTGGCGACCATCAAATAGGCGCAGCCAAAATTGCGCGGCGGCGCGACCATGAACACGCAAAGGTCGACCACCTGGTGTGAGTCGGCGTAAGGACCGACAAAAACGAGCAGGTCCGAAAGGCACTCCAGGACGACATCCGTGCCGTAGGTGACACAACATCATCGCGTCGGCGCCGGAAAAAGGGGGCAGCCTCGTCGCAGTCAGGACTGCAAACGGCAGATCCTCTTACATGTGCACCCGGTGGCACAAGTCGAAAACGAAGTCCATGTAGGAGAATGCAGCCGACGGGCGCCCAGAGCCACACATGCCGAAGTCCTTGCACCGAAGAGGGCGGCAGCGTAGCGAGACCCCACGGAACCCAAACGGTCACCAGTGGAGGCTGACACCAGGCAGGGGCAAGCCAGGGGCCACCTGACCGCCCATCCCCAGCGTGGTCCTTGCTTGCGTGGAATTCGGAGCGAGACCTCGCGGAACCCTTCCGGTCACCAGTGGAGGCCGACACCAGCTAGGAGGAGGTAGGGGCCACCTGGCCGCCCGTTCCCAGTGTGAACCTTGCATGGAATACAAGCTGTCAGAGCCTTCAGACAGCGGTATTGGCGGCAACTCCAGCCGCCGTGGTGCAGGTCAGCGCTATGCTGACCGACCCCGTTGTGCTGGAACCCGTGGTGCTCGACCCTGTTGTGCTCGTCAGGCTCGCGCTGCTCGACTCACTGGTGCTTGTCGCCGAACTGCTTGTCTCAGTTGCGCGCGCCGGCGACGTGCTGCTCGACCGCTTAGTGCAAGACCTGTGGTGCACGTCGCCGACGTGCTACTAGTCTCGCTGGCCCCCGTCGCCATGCAGTTTGTCTCGGTGGTGCTGGTCAGCGACGTGGTACTTGACTCCGCGGGGTGGATCCCGTGGTACTGCACCCAGTTGTGCTCGTCAGCGTTGTGCAGCACGACTCGCTGGTGTTCGTTGCCGTGCTGCATGACTCGGTGGTGCTGGCCAGCGACATGTTGCCCGACTCTGTAGTGCTAGACCCCGTGGTGCCCGACTCCGGTGTGCTCGACGCCGGCATGCTGCTGGCGTCACTGGTGCACGTAGTCGTGCCGCATGTTCCGGTAGTGTTCGTCAGCGAAATGCTGCTCGACCGCGTTATGTTGGACCTCGTGCTGCACGGCGCCGTTGTGCTGGTCGACGCGCGCCGCTAGCCCCCCGAGTGCTCGTTGCCGAGCTGCATGTCTCAGTCGTGATGGTCAGCGACTCGCTGCAGGACTCTGTCGTGCCACAGCTGGTTGTGCTCGTCAGGGTCGCGCTGCTGGTCTCTGGTGTTCGTCGCCGTGCAGCGCGTCTCGATGGTGCGCGTCGGTGACGTGCTGTGCGGCTCTTTGGTGCCCGGTCCCGTGGTGCTCGCCACCGTCGCGCTGCTCGACTCACCAGCGCCCGTCGCAGTGCTGCTTGTCTCAGTTGTGCTAGTCAACGACGCGATGCTGGACTCTGTTCTGCTGAAGCCTGTAATGCTAGACTCTGTTGTGTAGGTCCTCGTCGTGCTGCTCGTCTCACTGGTGCTCATCGTCGAGCTGCTGGTCTCACTTGTGCTGGTCGGCGACGTGCCTGCGGTGATGGCCATGGGGACAAGGGGCAATATAATCGGTCGCACGCCGTGCTGCTCGACGAGGTGCTGGTGGTGTCCGTAATGTGCTGCTCGACTCGGTCGTGCTGCTCACCGTGGAGCTGCTCAACGTAGTGCTGCTCGTCATTGATGTGCTGCTCGGTTCCTCCGTGGTACTCGTCGGACTGGTGCTTGTGCTGTTCGACTCGCTCGTGCTGGTCAACTGGCACTGCTAGATATTGCAAAGCTTGACGCGGTCGTGCGCGTAAGTGGGGTGATATGCTCGATTCCTATGTGCTGGTCAATGATGTGCTGCTTGGTTCTGTCGCTGTAGTCAAAGGTAGTGCTCAGCTCAATAGTGCTGCGCAGCGTGGTGATGCTTGATTCTGTCGCGGTGCTGAGTGTCGTGCTGCTTGATTCCGCGGTGCTCGAGCCGGTCGTGCTGGACAGGGAGGTGCCGCTTGATTCTGTGGTGCTCGAATGAGTATTGCTGGTCAGCATGGCACTGCTGGACTCTGTGGCACTGGACCCCGTGGTGGTTGACTCAGCAATGCTTGTCAACAACGTGCTGCTCGACCCCGCGTTGCTCGACTCAGTCGCGCTGATCAGTGGCGCGCTGCTCGACTCTGTGGTACTTGAGCCAGTCATGCTGGTCAGCGAAGTACTGCTCGACTCCGCAATGCGCGACTCGGACGCCCTGGGCAGCGACGCGCTGCTCGATCCCGCGGTGCTCGACGCGGTCGCGCTGGTCAAAGAGGTGCTGCTTGACACTGTGGTACTTGAGCCGGTCGTGCTGAACAGCGAGATACTGCTCGTCTCTGTGGTACTGAAGCCAGTCGTACTGGTGTCTGTCGCGCCAGTCAGCGGGGCGCTGCTCTACTCCATGGCACTTGAGCGGTCGCACTGGTCCAAGTAGTGCTGGTCGACGACGTGCTGCTCGACGCTGTGGTCTATGAGCCAGCCGTGCTGGTCAGCGAAATGCTGCGCGACTCTGTGGTTCTGGAGCCAGTCGGCTGGTCGCGGTCGTGCTGGTCAGCGAAGTACTGCTCGACTCTGTGGTACTTGACCCAATTGTTCTGGTCGCGGTCGTGCTCGTCGGCGAGGCGCTGCTCGACTCTGCGGTGCTCGAACCTGTAGTGCTGGGCGCGGTGGTGCTGGTCAGCCAAGTACTGCTCGACGACGTACTGCTCGACCCTGTGGTATTTGAGCTGGTCGTGCTGGTCAGCGAGGTTCTGCTCAAATCTGAGGTGCACGATCCTGTGGTGCTCGACTCGGTCGCGCTTGTCAGCGACGTGCTGCACGACTCTGCGATACTTGAGCCAGTAGTGCTGGTCGCGGTCGCGCCTGTTCGCGCGGTGCTGCGCGACTCCGCGGCGCTCAATCCCGCAGTGCTCGACTCGGTCGTGCTGGTCAGCGACATCCCGCGCGCCGACGTGCTGCTCGACTCTGCGGTACTTGAGCCGGTCGCGTTTGTCAGCGAAGTGCTGCTCGACTCTGTGGTGCTTGAGCCGGTCGTGCTGGTTTCGGTTGTGCTGGTCAGCGACGTGCCGCGCGACTCTGCGGTGCTTGAGCCGGTCGCACTGGCCTCGGTCGTGCTTGTCAGCGCGGAGCTGCTCGACTCACCGGCGCACGACTCCGCGGAGCTCGACTCGGTCGCGCTGGTCAGCGACGCGCTGCTTAGCGTGGTGCTGCTTGATTATGAAGTACTTGAGCCGGTCGTACTGGTCAGCGAAGTGCTGCTCGACTCTGTGGAAATTGAGCCTGTCGCGCTGGTCTCGGTCGTGCTTGTCAGCGACGTGCTGCTCGACTCTGTGGCGCTTGAGCCCGTCGTGCTGGTCTCGGTCGCGCTGGCCAGCGTGGTGCTGCCCAACTCCGTGGTGCTCAATCCCGCAGTGCACGACTCAGTCGTGCTGATCAACGACGCGCTGCTCGACGACGCACTGCTCGACTCCGCGGTGCTTGAGACAGTCTCGTTTGCCAGCAAGGTGCTGCGCAACTCTGCGCGCCCTCAGAGAGGGATGGAGGCCTTGGGCAAGGCGGGCGAGGAGCGCGGCAGGAGAAGCAGGCGAACATGGCAGAGGCGGAACGCAGCTAATAGCTGCAGCAATGAGAGATGAAGGCGCGAGCACAAACATGGAACGCAGCTAACCGCCGCAGCTTGGGGATAGCAGGACGAAACGAAGGGAAATGCACGCCGGGCACGGTAGGCAACCCGGCGCGGCAGCTAGACGCTGCAGCATAGGACTACCCGGCGTGCCGCAGCTAAGGCGCGGCGAAAGACTACCCGGCGCGGGGTGGGCAGCACGCCAGGCTGGCCCCCAGGGCCGCGGTTGGCACCCCAGGCCTCAAGTGGAGCGGGTCAACGTAGGTGGGAGCCCCAGCGGGGGCGCGCGCCCAGCGCCGCGAACTTGACCCGGTCGGCGGCGGGGCGGGCGGCCCGCGGCGACGACGGGGGCGAGCGACGACGGCGACGACGATGGCCGCGGCGCCGCCCTCCTCCTCCTCCCCCACCTCCTCCTCCTCCGCCTCCTCTTTCTTCTCCTCCTCCTGCTCCTCTTTCTCCTCCTCCTCCTCCTGGGCCCCGACGGCGACGGCGCCGAGGGCAGGCCAATTTCAACGTAAGGCGATGGTGACTGCGATGGAGGCGGCGCTGATGTTACCCTCATCGTAATCGCAATCGCCTTATCTCTGCGGGCATGGCTACGACTATGATGATAGTTCTCTCTGGCTCGACCTGCTTGTGTAATTTTGACTGCGTTGGTGCTCGAGTGATGGCCCCTCGCTCTAGATGCGATTTTACGCTGCGCTCGTCGATCCCCGCGCGAGCGCTGCACCCGCCGGGCAAACCCGGCCCGCCGCGCATGGATCAGAAACATGCCGTTCCTACACATTCAAAATGTCTCGGCCGAACCTCCCCCTCCCTCACCCCGCTCTCGCCCATCGCAGACTTGGCGGCGGCGGTGGCGGCGGCGGCGGCGGTGGCGGGGGGCAGCCGGGCTCGCTACCACTGACAACCTGCGTGCACAACTGCTCCGGAGATGTGCTCCGGCGAACGGGTCTGCGTCGATTTCTCAATGGCCTTCCTCTTGAGAAGGCCCCCCCCCGCCGCGTCGCCTGCCGACGAGAAGGCGCTTGGAACCGAAGCAGCGGGCACAGCAATTGACTCCAGGGTGCCACGCTCGGCCCCCTCGAGGGCCAGGCAAGTCCTTGAGCTTCGCGGCGTAGCGCTCGGACACTGCCTGCGCGCGCCATCCTGAAAATTCCTGGCGGGGGGCCATCGGGGCGGCGCGAATTTGATTTGCAGAACAAGGGGCGGCACCGTGACCGCCAGGCTCGCATCGACCCCGGTGGACATCGCGTGGATACCGGTCAACTCTTCGGGCTCAGCCGAGGCCTCAACCACGACACCTTGGACCTGTTGGCGCGAGGGCACTCCGCAACGCGCTCGGTGGTCGGGGCCGCGGCCAAGTGCTTCTCGAAGAGCCGCGCCCGGTTCTCGTGCTCTGCACGTTGACCAGCGTCGTAGTTAGAGGAAAGCTTGCCTTTGAAGTCCCACTTGTCAAGTGACTCCATCAGTGTATCCTTGTGCGTAGAGACGAAATCCATAGCCTCCTTCAGCGCGCGCGTCTGCGTCACGATGGCGAAGCTGATGGCCCATAGCTTCTTCACCTCGTCCTCGCACTGGTTGGGCCCATCGCGGTTGCAGAAGTCATTGTCGACAGAGCAGGCCTCGATGAGCAGGCCACTCGTCTCGATGAGGCCGCGCGGTTTGCCGTCGCGGCCGTCGGCGCGCGCTCTCTCGAGGCCTTGGAATGCCCTGGCCGCGAAGAAAAGCATCGCCACCTCCCCGGGGGCGCGGTCCTCGAACTCCCTGGCAAGAGCGAGGAACTTCTCGCTGCAGCGGGCGGAATGCACGACGGAAGAAATGAAGAACGAGGCGGGGTGGAAACGGGCACGTTGGACAATGACGTCAACGTCGCGCCCGAGAATTTGTCGAACTCCTCGGGAAGTAGCTCTGGCCTCGCAGCGTCGAGTGCCAGGTCGCACTCTGCATCCTTCCTGTGCAAATCTACCCAGTCCCTGAGGCCAGCAATGATGTCGCCAGTGATGGGATATGTCGTGAAGCTCTCCAGCGCAATTTCGACGAGCGCGAGCTTGGCCACAGGGGTCCGAAGGGTGACAGACGTCGACTCGAGTATTTTGCGCACTGCGCAGCAGCGAGTGAACCGCACCAGATTCTCGGCATCGTCGTGCGAAGCCTCATTGCGAAACGCCCCGGTGACGATTCCCTCCGTGCTCTGGGCAACAAAACGAGCGCGCGCATCACTTCGACTGGGGGCCGGTTGGACTTGTTCGGGCGGGGGCTGGCGGGCGCGAGCGGGGGGGGGGGGGCGGCAGCCGACTCCAATTCTCGTGGATCACTGCTCACTTACAACTGAATGCAAATCGTAGCATAAGCCGTTTTGAATGTCAAACTCAACTGCAGAACTGCAACGTGAAACCGATCAGACTTCTCCGGGCAAGAGAGGCGATCCGGCGCGCGCCAGAGGAGCCGGGCGGGCCAGCTTCATCAGAAGGAGAAAACCCCTGGCGAGGGGCCTGGCATGTGGGCACACCTGTTTCCAATTTCGAATGACTGTCCAGCCACGGGGGGTGTTTGGGTTCACGTGGGTCCACCTGGGCCACCCAAACCCACGCGACGGAAACGCCATTCTGACAATCGAGAACCTACCATACATGGCGCCCATGCGCGCGACCACGGGCAGGTCCTCCTGAACCTCCAGCGGGTCGCCCGCGGTCCTCCTGGACCTCCAACGGCCCACCGGAACTTATAACGAAGGCATCTGAGCACATGAAGGGTCCACGGGCCACGTATAATCCCCGAGCATACAGTGGGCCCACCTGTTCGACATCGGGATATCCTTCACCTTCCTGAACAGACGAGGGGCCTTCCTGAACCTTCAACGGGGCCCTCCTCATCCTCCTCGACTCCTAAACATGCACAGGGTCTTGCTGTAACGACAGCGGGATGTCCTCCCTCATTCCTCTTGAAGATATCGGAGTTCTGAATTTGGGCCCATTAGGTCCCCGCTGTGATCGGCGACCGATGATGTCCCTGCTGCGACGGGTGGCCGATCAGGCCCCACCGTGCCGCGCGGCCGATTAAGCGCCCGCCGTAACGCGTGACCGACAAAGGTCGGCCATGATCGGTGACCGACTAGGTGCCCACCATGACGGGCGACCGATTAGGTCAACTCCATCACTGGTGACATTTTCGGTCCCCGCAACGGGCGGCGACCTATCAGGTCCCCAGTGCGCAGGTGATCCACGTGGTGCCCGCTATGACTGGTGACCGACTGCGTCCCCGCTATGACGGGTGATCGACGAAGCTCACGCCGTAACGGGTGACTGGTTATGTCCTCGTCATGACGGGTGACCGAATAAATCACCATGACGATGGGTGGGCGACTAAGTGTCGCTACGAAGGGTGACCGGATACGTCGGCCGCTAAACTTGGAGACCAAATCGATCAACGCTACGGGACCACTTTAGTTTGCATGCCAACATGGCGACTTCCCATTGCAGACGCATGTAGAAACCACAGCGTGCGCGCGTCGGCCTGTTGTGGGCTGCGCCAAGACAGGGACGCGTGAACCACGACGTGTTAAGCTGCAAATCCAGTCGCGCACCGCTAGAAAGGACCACTTCAGTTTCCATGCCAACATTGCGACTGCCCTATTGGGGACAACACAGACACCACCAGCTGTGAGAGCGCGTGCGCGTTGGCGCATTCTACGCTACACCAATAAACGGGCACGTCAAACACGCATGTTCCGCTGGAAGTCAAGCCGACCACCGCTAAGTGGTAATTTCATTTTCCAAGCCAACATGGCGACTGTCTTATTGCGGAAAGCACAGAAAACCACCGCGTGCGAAAGCGCGCGAACGTTGTCGGCTGCACACATACACGGACGCGTAAAAAAAACGCAGCTTCAGTTGGAGACTCATGTCGGGCTGCGCGCCGCCGTTGTAACTGTCTTATTGCGGGGGCACGGGAACCACCACGCGCAGGCGCGCGCCAATGCTATGTACGTTGCACCTGTGGAAGGGGCACGTGAAACCGCATGTCCAGTTGGAACTCCAATCGGTCACCGCTAAAGGCTTACTTCAACTTTCATGGCAACGTGGCCACTGTCCGATTGCGGGCACCACAGAAACCACCGCGCGCGAGAGCGCGCGCGCGCGCGCGCGTCGGCGCGTTGAACGCTGCACCAGTCGACGGACACGTAACAACACGCATGTTAAGTTGGAGAGCGCGTCGGTCACCGCTAAGGGTTCACTTCCGTTTCCAAGCCAACATGGCGATTGTCTCAGTGCGGAGAACACAGGAGCGACAACGCGTGAGAGCGCGCGCGCAAGCGTCAGCGCGCTGCACGCTGCACCAGCAGCCGGACGCGTGAAACACGCATGTTAAATTGAATTGGACTGCCAGTCGGCCACCGCCGAGGCTTCACTTCTGTCCCCAGGCGGACATGGCGACTGTTCGATCGCGGCCAATGCATGCACCATCGCGCGAGAGCACGCGCGCGCCAGCGCTTTTCTCGCGGCGCCAATCGACAGACACGTTGAAAAATCATGTTGCGGTGTGAATCAAGCCGGGCACCGTTCAAAGGGATCCCTCCACTTTCCAAGCCAAAAGCGGCGACTATTGCGGACGATGCAGGCGCCGCCGCGCCAGAGAGCGCGGGCGCGCGTCGGCGGGCTGCGCGCTGCACAAACAGACGGAAGCCTACAAACCGCGGGTTCAACTGGGAAGTCCAAGTGGCCACCCCGAAAACTTTTAGTTTAGTCCCCAGGGCAGCGAGGCGGCCGCCCGACTGCCGGCAACGCAGCGCAAGATGCGCAGCGCGCGAGAGCGCGCGCGCGTCGGCTCGTCTCGCGCTGAACACTTTGACGGACGCGGGAATACCTCGTGCCGAGCTGGAAATCAATGCTGCCACTGCTAAGGGTTCCCCAGTTTCCAGGCCGACATGGCGACTGCCATCTTGCGGACAAGGCAGGAACCGCCGCGCGCGAGAACGCGCGCGCGCGTCG